AGTTTAATGGTGCCAGGAACTCGGTGAAACTGTATTTATTCACCGGCTTTTCGTCCCGCGATAAGGGTATTTCGCCAGAGTGCACCGAGAGCTTGCCTCGCTATACTTCAGCTCTTCCCCAATTCTCTCTCTCTCTCTCTCTCTTTCTTCTAATAAACTCCTTCTTATCTCAAGCGGTTCGGTCCGATAGCTTGGTCTCAGATTCACGAGAAACCGGCAATAAAACCAGATTTTTCTTACCGCCCCCTCAAAAATATCAAAATGTACGCGTTTTCTTCCCGACTCGGCTGTTTTTCGAGATGCCATCATTTAAATCATACTTCCCAATAACACGTAAAATGAAATAACGATCTCTACATTTAGGAAATAATATCAAACTAAGAACTACAGTCGAAACTTTTGTATAATATTTTGCTTGTTTAAGCTGTCCTAAGATTGTTAAACTCTGAGTATGTTGGACTTGATGCTTAATTTTACATAACATTATACAGACTGTAGACATAGGATAGATACTATAACGAATATATATTTGGAAATAACTTTCATTAACGACCGGGTTCGTTCGGAAGTAACTTTTCTCATATGGGTAGCCTAGCTAAGCCGTTCAGGATTCCCAGCAACGACGATCAAAACCGATATTCCTGACTCGCGACACGTTTCATTCCGCGTATAACAAGTATGGACGTTTACTGACAGCCGAGCAGATGTTGCCTGATCTGGCTCATTTAACCGGAAGAAGAGGAACCGGTCGCTACTTGTTGACGTCGCTTTACGGGAATCCTCGAATTATGAATAATGGATGGCTGCGAGCAAAGGCCAAACGTGCGCGGCCAACTTCTTATCCGAGTTCACAACGAGACGCGTCTTATCTCTGATCTAATATCGAAAGCACCCGTCACTTTTCACCTATTCCTTTTTTCTATCGATTATTTTCAGATTTCTGCTTCAACTATTTCAAAAATATCGAAATATTTAACCTGTTCACTTCTACTAACAATTAATTTAAGGATGTATAGGC